CGTTGGCTAACATGATACCACACAGGGAGAGTCTCACCTTACGCCTGCTAATAAATTATACCATTGATGATCAGAATAGCGAATGTCTTGTAATCGATGAAACATTATGTCGAGGATCACCGTCACTTGAAAAACAAGCCAGACTGGAAGACACCACTCACTCGGACTCCGGCTGTGCTGCAGACGATGAAGAGCAGGAACCGAAACGAAGACAGTTAAGTAGACCGTCCAGAGAGACCCATGTTTTGGATCTGTCAGTGCATTCTGACAGGGACGAACTTGAATTAGAGGAAGCGATGAACACGGAGCCGGAGGATCCTGCAGAAGAAGACCATACAGATTCACGAGACAGTTCTCCATCTGCTCTCGGAACGTTACTACCTGGTAGTGCATCAACAACTACTACTGAGGCGATCGATACGCACGCTCTAATTAAAAACTTTCCCTCAGGTCCAACTGCATCACTGAATCCACTGTTAATCCCAAATCTCACTTCTGGACAGTCCAACATGCCAGCAATCTTTACAACTTCGAGTCTTCCTTTGGTTGATTCCTCGGTTTTGGCTCTTCTTCCTTTGCTTCAACAGCAGCAGCAGCAACAACAACACCAACAGCAACAACAGCAACATCAGCAACTTCAAAATCGTCTGCTTGGACAGACAAGACTCTTCCCCCAGTCAGAGCCAAATATGTCAAGCACACCAGTAGCTTCACTACCCGCTGAAACGGCGGAAACGATCTTGTTCAAGGAATTTCAGGCATTGCTGCAAGGTAACAGCAACAACCTCTTGTCATCCGCAACAACAGTGGCAACCCCAACGTACACAACTGCTCTTAATGGAATTGTCAATAATAAAGTTACAGTCATGAAGTCGACCGAACCGGTTCCCTGTGTATCGAACACTACCTCTGTGAATCTGTTGAACACATCTCTCCACAATCCTGTTAGCAGTACCCCATCCCTAGTCAGTTTCCCACTTTTTAATGCATTTACCCCAGATCAGCTAACCGCCGTTCAAGCTCTACTTCCACCAGGACCCTTCGTGAACAATTCAGCGTCAGCAGCTCCTAATCTGGCCTCGTTGAATTTGGGATCAGCCACGTTGTTTAATTGGAAAGACAGGCAGGTTGGCCTGGAAACCTTAGGTGTCGTACCAGCCTCCACCAACAGACAACTCACGCAACCGGTTGCAAACCTGTTAAACCACATCAGCGTACCACAGGCCACTCCAATCTCATTACGCGCCCTATCCACTCTGTCTCAGCTGTTCAACGCCAATGTGGACCAGAGTGCGTTGAAGAACAAAAATACTTCCAACGACAACGAATCAAAACTCACCGCGAACTCACCAACCACCGGTGCAAGCGAACGAAAGCCTGGGACTCAGCTTCTCGACCCTTCGTTCACCGGCACAACTGCGAGGCCACCCAATGTGACCATAGTCACACCCTCTCGAGACATTGGAATCACGCAGCCACAGACTGATAGTCTGGTTCCGGTGTCTGAACAAGACTTGGGCGATAGTAGCCCATTGAGCGTGAACAATTCGGCAGGCACCAATGGGGGCTATAGCTCAAACCAATTCATGTTTGGTCGTCGTCTGGCTCATACGCGACGCTTTATCTGCAACCAGTGTCGAAAGAACTTTGCTTCTCTGGCCGAACTGAATCGGCATACTTTAGAGGCACATACTTCATTCAAGTGTACCATCTGTTCCGCACATTTCACTCAGCGTTCAAATCTCCAACGTCATTCGTTGAAGCACGTGGGTTTCAAGCCGTTTACATGTAATCTGTGCAATAAGGAATACTACAGGAAGGACCATTTGGTACGTCATATTGAAGTGACACATCCGAACCACGACCCAAAAATGAATATCACCGTACACTTGACATCCTCCGAATGTTTGGACTATTTAGACCGAATTCATGCTGGCAGAGCATCCCCGTCTTCGGAAAACCCCGATGAATCATATGAGCACGCTCCCGAAGCCACAGACATTCCGGAAGGCGAGGAATTAAAAAGTGAGGGACCGATGGTAGAATCGTGTGAAGACAATCTGGACGATGCGGTGACTCAATAGTCCTGTGGTACGACCCTTTTTGTACAGTAGCACTGGTTTCGAATTCATCACTTTGTTGGATTGTCCTACGTTCCACGGCTTCAATTTTTTTCTCGTGTGGTAGTTTTTGTTCCGATATCTCCTTCTCACAGAACTCACCGGGTCGATATCGGGAAATCTGTTTGCTTTTATTCTACAGCATTTAATTTGGCATAATTTCCTCCTCTGTATCTAAACTCTTGTGAACATGATTGCACAACAATTCATCACATCAAACATTTCACCAGTTTGTCAGTTTGGCCGTCTTCCCAAATGTGACTGAACCAGTGGGTGAATACGGTGAGCAACCGTGAGGCAACAAAATTCGAAACAACTAAACTGCAAACCGACAAACTCAGTGTTAATCACTGTTTGCGTAACTTTTTCGGTTCGAGTAGTTCATCCGAGATTCTGTGATCGTGAACTGTGTATTCTGGTACGACAACAACGACGAAGACAGGCTCCGTCCAACTGGCTACTTCATTTCACCTAAAGCTGTTTGGTTAATGTTACAACCATTCTTTCCAAGCTAGTCCGTTGTTTTCTACAACATTCCTTTTCCGGTTTTGCTGTATGTGCTCCCCTCTTTCTCTCTTTCCATGTCTGTCATTCTCAACTGTGCTCTCTACACACTGATGCACGTAATTCTTGTGATTTTCTCGTTTTTCGACCAGTATTCATCATGATTCCATCGTCTATCATTGCACGTACTAGAACATTACAATGTGATCCATCATAATAACTTGCCGTTGGTCACCGCAGATTACTTTTCTCAGTGAAACGCATGATTGACGAGGAAACCCTGGGTAGTTCGTTGAAATGGGTCAGTAAAATCTATAGAGACGAGCTGAACGGCTCAACATAGTGACAGAAGATCTAATGAAAGGAAAATGATCAATATCGGTCAAACATAGGTTAAATAAACAAAGCAGCGTGCACGGGTCGGGCGACTTTGCCGTTCATTAGTGCGTTACCTACCACTGCTGCTTTCTTGTATGGAGTAATTATGCGGTTATCCGTTCGTCGCGTCTAGTTTTGTTATCAAGCCACCGCACCGACCGTTTTTGGTATGCGAAAACCATGGATTACTCACCATTATGTGATTACCTTTACTTCAAGAAAAACGAAAAATGGGGTGCCGAATAATTATACTGCTACACGCTTCAAAGACCTTCGGTGTGCAGTTCGTAAGCATTGACTATGGAATGTGCCTTCGTAGCATGTTCGCCATTGGACATTTTAGCGTGTCTTCCTTTAGTACCCAGCTTATTTTCTGCATAGCACTTTCGCTCTGAAGACGAGCTGGAATCGAGGGATGGTGCTCCCTTTTGTCTTGTAGTTAATCCACCTAAGCCTATTGTGGTCGGTCATCTGTGACCCTATCAGTACTTGGTTGGCGTGCCTCCCTAAGCAAGCGCATGGACTGATATACTGCCAGGTCGTGCAAGCCGAGACAGGAGCGGTCGAGATGCCGGCGTGTGGTTCGAGCCACGGACCTTCCTGTTAGTAAGTTCACCCTTAGTCACTGAGCCACCTCGAGTTCATTTGGGCCAATGAGGTCCAGGTACAACTGAAAGGTCAATTAATTTGACGCAAGCACGTGTGAGTGAGAGGTCTCATAATGAGCTCCTTCCCAGTGGGTCCCTTCAACTTTGTTGCTACTATAGTGAACCGGAGAAATCAGACGTCTCCAACTTTCTCATTCCAACAAGGACCACCTCCTACAACAGTCGGGAACTTTTGACACTATCCATTAAGTCACTTGGCATCTATCTCCTTGTGTGAGCTTGTAATGTAATGTACTACGCATAAGGTTGCTGAAAATCCGTCGACAGCCCATGACCGGTTTCTCCCTTCTTGGGGATCATCAGATAGGTGCAGTCCTCGAGTTTCCGTCAACCTTATGTTCTACTCGAAACCAAATTGCACGGAATGAACGAATATACACTCATTTGCAAACTAATTTGGTTTTTCGAGAGACTCACCTGAAACTCAGCTGAACCTCTCGTTTGTGATGTTTCCAGGCAACTGGCTGTGCCGCACCAGGCCGCGTCATGTTTCAGTCGCTACGGTATTCGAGATATTGCGATACATGTATACATTTGTAATGTACTACTCATAAGGAGTAATTGTTGTTGATCGTCCCAGACTTGCAACGATGGCGCTGACTGTTACGTTTGAATTAAAGCAAAAGTCGCAGCAGTACCGAATGGTTCTACAAAGGCAAATATCAGGAAATCCTGGCCAATTCTAACCGTGCTGTTTTTCTTGAGGTCAAAACATCTCTTTGGTGAAGTATACTCATAAGGAAAGGATTTTATGATCTTTTGACGATCATCTGACTTTGACAGCGATCACTGTGCGCACATGGCCTGTTTTTATTCTACGGAAAAATAAGATCTGGGAGTGAAGTTTGAAGATTAAATGTTTGAGGATCGAATGTTGCAAGTGGCTTCAGCTACTTTGATCTCCAATTCACTTGGACTGGATCATGTCTACAGATTCCAGTGAATGAGAACAAGGCTATACGCCAGTTGATACTATAATGTCGGATAGCCAGATTACTTTTTTGTGAACGTAACTTCTGATTTACCCAGTTCATTGCAGTGAGGTGAAGTGCCTGTTGATTGGGCGACTTCTCAAAACTAGTATTTTACGGGAAGCTCTCAAGTCGGGCACAACCCAAGAATCAAAGTAATGAGTTCGTCGTTCAATGGCGTTGGAAGTGGAACACAGGCTATCCAGTAGAGATAACGAGATTAAGGAAGGTAGAGCTTCTAAAGAATGTAGAAAATGATGGAATGGTCATATTTTTGTCGTCGATCCTGATAAAGAGCAAGTATGTTTCCAGCGTCTGAAAATAGACGTGAAGATGGTGTTTATTTTGGGCGCTCATGAACTACAAGATGATGGGATCATAATTGGGTTGTCTCTAGTGGAGTCAAGGACTAGCCATAAGAGTCTCAGAAGTTGTGGTATTAGCGAAACGAGTGATGTGAGCAAAGTGACCATTTAGAGGAGGCATCTCCAACTGTAACCCAGAATGTGAGCGGAATTCTAATTGTCGAATGTGGTGCACAAAGGAGATGAAAGTTTAGAATATTGGAATAAGGTGAATAGGGGAATAAGGTGACCCCAGTGATTCGGTAAACTATTCAATTACAATAACCCCCTACGAGAGAGATCGTGTTGTGGAGACAAAGATATGCGGGAATTACACATCATAGCGTTGCTGTAAAATCTTGGACGCTTACCGAGACATCAGATGCGGTACCCAGTTAAACACCTATTGAAGGCCACACTTTCTATCTCCGGATAAGTAAGCAACTGTGTTTCGCATTGACGTTCAGTCCACTATGGCAGGTAAACGCTCTCAGCGTGGTTATTTTTTTGGGGAAAACATTGACAAATACTGTGGTCGCAACACTTCCAACTGGTTTTCTTAGTGATATATGGACCAGACAGTCAATCAGCATCAACGATCGCGAAGTCAATTATTCTGCTACTAGAGGCATCATGAATAACAGGATCTACTGGTCGAACAGTATACCAGAGCTGGAATCTCATGCACACTGCGTTTAAGTGTAGGCCACAGATGACGAACTTCATGCGGTGGATAAATTTGCAGTTCGATGAGCAGCTAATTCGCTACTTTGAGATCCTGGGGAAGTGAACCATAGTAAATTACTCTAAGTAGATGACAATGCACTCACGAGGATAATTTCCTGTTAATCCCAAACTAAATACTACTTTTATTTTCGTAAGCTCCTCCCTTACAACGACCACCTGTCAAATTTCCATTACGAGTCCATTGCATTCTAGTCCTAACAATCAAGAAAAAGTCTGTACCGTTATCTACAATCTTTACTCTTCGAAATCAGTGAAGGATGTATATTTTAATTTAACGAGAGGCTCCGGGTTACGATAGCTTCTTCAGCGTCACCTCTCCAGAGCTATAGTTCTCTACCAACCTTGTTGTCAGTCGTCGCCTATGTTCCAAATTGGGTGTAAAGTGATGAGAAAAAGCAGACGCTGCTGTCAGGGAGACCTCTAACTGAGATGACAATCCGAAATAACATAGCTGTTGTATTTAACTACTGTCCCCGCTCCGGTGCATTAGTGTCGAAAAAGTGACTCGTCAACAAGGAGCACAACAGATTTAATGCGAACAAGCGGATGGAAAAGTCACAAGGGGCCTCACTGTAGTGAAAAAGGACACTTTTGACATTGATCCAAGCTGTCTAATAGGCGTTTGATGAACATCCATAATCGGCGTGCTTCTTTGAAATGCCTGACCACACAACATCGTAGGCCGTTGCTTAAATGATTGAGTGCTCGAGCGTTTGATCGGAAACTGGCTTTTCTGGCCTGGTTTACGGCTTCCCTAATGCGACCTTGATGGGCTTCGAGTGTCTCAATAGGTTTCGGACATTGTGGGAATCTGACCTTCCTGACAATAAAAATAAAAGGCCGAAACGTGGTAGTAAATTTATTCACCCAACCGCTCCTTAGCGCATTTCCCCTAATTTCAATCGTGAGTGAAGGATAACCTTGGATTCGGATTGGTGAGCCACTTATGGTTCCTCCTAATAGGTCCTGTGGTGGCGCTTCTCCGGACGAAAATGTAAGTTGCCCGCAGCTTCGAGTTAATGACGGCCTAGACTCAGATTGGTCCAAATATCAAAGGATTCATTATACGCACCAAAGATACAGAAAAGGTCAGAAAGGATTGCTCTTGTCTTCAGAGTCATTCATTGATCATCCTGAAGGGACTCGCGTCCCCGGAGTAGGCTACTATGGCCTGTTCGTGCAGGGCAAATACAATGAATCGGTGTTATTGGTGGCGCTACCGACGCATGACCTTGAACGACAGCGTCTTTTTTGATCTAACGTTTTGTTTGCCCTCTAGATTCACTGATTTTTCCCCTCACTATTTCATTACTTTAGCCTACAGTACTGCTTTTGTAAAACTGCCAGTCG